CTAATTCAGTTGGTTGAAGACAGTAGGAATGTTGGTCTAATTCAGTTGGTTGAAGACAGTAGGAATGTTGGTCTAATTCAGTTGGTTGAAGACAGTAGGAATGTTGGTCTAATTCGGTTGGTTGAAGACAGTAGGAATGTTGGTCTAATTCAGTTGGTTGAAGACAGTAGGAATGTTGGTCTAATTCAGTTGGTTGAAGACAGTAGGAATGTTGGTCTAATTCAGTTGGTTGAAGACAGTAGGAATGTTGGTGTCTAATTAGGTTAGTTGAAGACAGTAGGAATGTTGGTCTAATTCAGTTGGTTGAAGACAGTAGGAATGTTGGTCTAATTCAGTTGGTTGAAGACAGTAGGAATGTTGGTCTAATTCAGTTGGTTGAAGACAGTAGGAATGTTGGTCTAATTCAGTTGGTTGAAGACAGTAGGAATGTTGGTCTAATTCAGTTGGTTGAAGACAGTAGGAATGTTGGTCTAATTCAGTTGGTTGAAGACAGTAGGAATGTTGGTCTAATTCAGTTGGTTGAAGACAGTAGGAATGTTGGTCTAATTCAGTTGGTTGAAGACAGTAGGAATGTTGGTCTAATTCAGTTGGTTGAAGACAGTAGGAGTGTTGGTCTAATTCAGTTGGTTGAAGACAGTAGGAATGTTGGTCTAATTAAGTTGGTTGAAGACAGTAGGAATGTTGGTCTAATTCAGTTGGTTGAAGACAGTAGGAATGTTGGTCTAATTCAGTTGGTTGAAGACAGTAGGAATGTTGGTCTAATTCAGTTGGTTGAAGATAGTAGGAATGTTGGTCTAATTCAGTTGGTTGAAGACAGTAGGAATGTTTGTCTAATTCAGTTGGTTGAAGAGAGTAGGAATGTTGGTGTCTAATTAGGTTAGTTGAAGACAGTAGGAATGTTGGTCTAATTCAGTTGGTTGAAGACAGTAGGAATGTTGGTCTAATTCAGTTGGTTGAAGACAGTAGGAATGTTGGTCTAATTCAGTTAGTTGAAGACAGTAGGAATGTTGGTCTTATTCGGTTGGTTGAAGACAGTAGGAATGTTGGTGTCTAATTAGGTTAGTTGAAGACAGTAGGAATGTTGGTCTAATTCAGTTGGTTGAAGACAGTAGGAATGTTGGTCTAATTCAGTTGTTTGAAGACAGTAGGAATGTTGGTGTCTAATTAGGTTAGTTGAAGACAGTAGGAATGTTGGTCTAATTCGGTTGGTTGAAGACAGTAGGAATGTTGGTCTAATTCGGTTGGTTGAAGACAGTAGGAATGTTGGTCTAATTCAGTTGTTTGAAGACAGTAGGAATGTTGGTCTAATTCAGTTGGTTGAAGACAGTAGGAATGTTGGTCTAATTCAGTTGGTTGAAGACAGTAGGAATGTTGGTGTCTAATTCAGTTGGTTGAAGAGAGTAGAAATGTTGGTGTCTAATTAGGTTAGTTGAAGACAGTAGGAATGTTGGTCTAATTCAGTTGGTTGAAGACAGTAGGAATGTTGGTGTCTAATTAGGTTAGTTGAAGACAGTAGGAATGTTGGTCTAATTCAGTTGGTTGAAGACAGTAGGAATGTTGGTGTCTAATTAGGTTAGTTGAAGACAGTAGGAATGTTGGTCTAATTCAGTTGGTTGAAGACAGTAGGAATGTTGGTCTAATTCAGTTGGTTGAAGACAGTAGGAATGTTGGTCTAATTCGGTTGGTTGAAGACAGTAGGAATGTTGGTCTAATTCAGTTGGTTGAAGACAGTAGGAATGTTGGTCTAATTCAGTTGGTTGAAGACAGTAGGAATGTTGGTCTAATTCAGTTGGTTGAAGACAGTAGGAATGTTGGTCTAATTCGGTTGGTTGAAAATCGGAGTCAACGGCCTCAATGGCGTTACCAGTTGACAGGTATCCTTAATTGTGATGGAGGCGAGGTCGAGGTCGGCAAAAAAAGCTCATGGTTGATACATTCGAAAAAAAAAAGTCTCGAGTTCAAACCCTCTGGCAGATAAGACTCGATCCCTTCCAACAATAATTAAGAACGAAGAAGAAGAAGAAGGTTTGTTGAAGACAGTTGGAATGTTGGTCTAATTCGGTTGGTTGAAGAATTGAATGGCAACAAAGTAAATTATCACCAACATGCACATCTCAATTAAATAAGTGCTATTGCTAATCTATAGATATAGGTTTTAAATGATATAATCAACTCTAGTTCTTAATTATTATTAATTAACCGTGTTCCTTTAGTATTGTGGAGCAGGCATGGACTAAGCCGTAGAGTACTAGGCTGCTAACCCAAAAGTCTTGAGTTCAAATCTGGGTTGAAGTCAATAGAACGTCCCTGAGTCCACCCAACTCTGAAGGGTACCTAACTCATGTTAGGGAAAGTAAAAGCGGCTGGGCAAAGTGCTGACCACACCTTCCATTATGAATTTTACTTCATCTGCCCGCGGGGCCTGCTTTTTTCCATTATATAATATAATAATATATATATATATATATATATATATATATATATATATATATATATATATATATATATATATATATATATATATATATATATATGCACACACAATAACAGCTAAATATTTTGGAGTCTATAAGCTAATGCCAAACTTCTCACTTTAATAACAGATGTTTACCTTTCCCACGTTTTACCAAATGTTCTTAGTTTTTGTTTTGTTTTTTTTGCTAAGATATTAACTGTCATTTTTTGACAGTTATGAAATCCATACCAAACACTCAAGGAAATTTAATGACATGCCAAAAAACTAGGACAAAGTTGTTTAAAATGTTTGTTAATGACCGATAGTTAATATAAAAGTCAAGCGTTTTAGGTGTATTTAAAGAAAAGACTGTACTGTTAGTAACTTAGTAAGCGCAGAATTTTAGACAAATTATAATAATAACAAAAAAAGAGTAATTAAAGTTAAAACAAATAGAAAAAACGATAGCTTTTGGACTTAGCTCGAATCATAAATTAACACTGGTTACGAATCGTAAAAACCCACTGTATGTTTATGGATATCCAAAAGAAATGATTCTCAAATGTAGGGTGGAGCTTTGGGGTGGGTGGCAGTTAAATCTATGCCTTGGGTTGCCAAACCCTAAAAAAAAATCTCCTAATTCGAGTACTACGTTACTGGATCTCTGACCGGAGAAGGTTTGTGTTTATAGAGCGCCCAGGTATTACATTACTGGCCATGATCGCAGTCTCACAAGAGAAGGTTCATGACTATAATTAGGGAGAAAACGGCGTGACAGCCAGCTACACCTTATTTATGAGTTTCCCGACGGCATGTTCGGGCTGCCGTGAATGCCGGTACTTTAGACGTGTGAGAAAGCAGGACAACTTTACAATAAAGTGAACTCGGCCCGAGGTATCAAAACAGTATAGACTTCAAAATTTGTCTGAAATCCATACAATATTTTAAAATCAAAATCATTATTGTCTTAACTATTGTAAAAGATATACTGCAGTTTAAAAAAATGTGCGTTTATTAATGACTGTTATAACTGGGTTCTAATGTGTATTACAGTTATGCAGTGAGAGGGTAGAACTACTTGATCCAATATTATATTCCGATACCACTACCATTTCATTATGTCTAGCCATGCAATAGTGCATCTTGAGACACGACGACATCAACGCATACAAATGATTTGACAGAATGACATTGTTTACTGGTTCTATTTATTGCACTATAAGAAATAGCGTGCGGCGTCAAAACGGCCAATGACAAAACGGCCCCGTCAAAACGACCCCGACAAATCGGCCCCGTCAAATTGACCCCGTCAAAAGGGCCAGCGACACATGGACCCCGTCATATAGGCTCCCGACAAATAGGCTCCCGTCATTTAGGCTACCGAAAAATAGGCTCCCGTTATATAGGCTCCCGACAAAAGGGCTCCAGTCAATAAGGCTCCTGACAAATAGGCTCCCGTCATTTTGGCTCCCGACAAATAGGCTCCCGCCATTTAATTTCTCCACAAAACGGCCCCCGTCATTACGACTCCCGACAAATAGGCTAGCGTTATTTTGGCTCACGACAAAAAGGCTCCTGTCAATTTGGCTCCAGACAAAAGGACCACTGACAATACCGTTTCTGTAGAGACTAAGTCTCCTGGCAAAGCGGTCTCATTGAATATGACACCTGCCAGTGGGACCCCTTCATCAATATTCTTTAGAAGCATCCCGTCTGTTCACTACAAAACGTCTTCATCGGGCCGCATACAATAGGGTATCTGATTACGTGTTTTCCAAATGTTCCTCCCTGCTCTGGTCGGGCGCTAATTCGAGTCCACCCATCTCCAGTCACCTCAGATCAAATGCGAGGCGACCGTACCCTTCACACAGGGAGGTGTGTAACACTATACTTTACGGCCTCTCCCAGTTTAGGTGGGTGATAACTCACTAGCATCAACCGGGGCCTCAGTTATAACAATCAACAACGTCGGCATTCGACCATTTCGTTTTTCCCAAGTGAATTCAGCAAAAATTATATCAGTTTACAAAGTTATTTAGATAGCAATAACAGACTAATAACAGTGCTGAAGCGCGGGGCCCCTTCAGGCGGGGGGCCTGGGGCCTCCGCCCCGTTCGCCACCCCCAAACGCCGGCTCTGAATTTACTTTTTGGTTATTGTAAACAGTAGCGTAGCGAGGGGGGGGGGGGGCGGGGGGGGGACATATGTCCCCTGGCGCCGAGCTTAGGGGGCACCAAAATGGGTTGGAAAAATAAATTGAAAGGTTGAGGGGGGTGCAAATTGAAAGTTTGAGGGGGGGGGTGCAAATCAAAAGTTTGAGGGGGGGAGGTGCAAATCAAAATCTCGAGGGGGGGGGTTGCAAATCGAAAGTTTGAGGGGGGGGGGGGTGCAAAACGAAAAGTTTGTCCCCGGGCGCCGGGAAGAGTCGCTACGCCTCTGATTGTAAACAGTTTTAACTAATTTTTACTTTGTCTCTTTTAGTATAGAGAAAATCTAATGACTAAATTGAAATAACTTCACAAAATGAATTACTTTAAATTTTCAGGGATTCGTTGACGTTAAGTCTGGTAATCGTTTTCACATGTATGCTCATTTCACTGCTCTTTTTTGGAATAGACTTTTATTGTTTTATCAAAAAGAGGTAATAAGATAATCGGTACACTTTTCTGATTTAATAAGAAGCTGTTTTCAGATTTCTTTTAAGAATTAAAGCACGTTTTTTACTACAATTTAGCTATATATTTATAATTCAAAATCAAATTAATCTTATCCCTCTTCCGTAGCACATTTTGTAATAGAGAAATAATCTTATAACTTATTATTATATGTTGTGTAATAGGTTGAAAATACGAAGAGAGCGTGCATTGTATCGTGACTACATTAGAAGGCGCGAACATCAGTATCATACTGGAAGGTGCAGAGGTTTTTCTACCATTGTTAAATAAATTCATCTCTTCTAATCAGCTGAACAATTAAATCTGCCCTAATCCTTAAACTGATGTGATGACACAATCAAAATTTAAAACATGCTGACACATGACACAATCTAAATTTAAAACATGCTGACACATGACACAATCTAAATTTAAAACATGCTGACACATGACACAATCTAAATTTAAAACAACATGCTGACACATGACACAATCTAAATTTAAAACAACATGCTGACACATGACACAATCTAAATTTAAAACAACATGCTGATACATGACACAATCTAAATTTAAAACAACATGCTGATACATGACACAATCTAAATTTAAAACAACATGCTCATACATGACACAATCTAAATTTAAAACAACATGCTGACACATGACACAATCTAAATTTAAAACAACATGCTGACACATGACACAATCTAAATTTAAAACAACATGCTCATACATGACACAATCTAAATTTTAAACAACATGCTCATACATGACACAATCTAAATTTAAAACAACATGCTGACACATGACACAATCTAAATTTAAAACAACATGCTGACACATGACACAATCTAAATTTAAAACATGCTGACACATGACACAATCTAAATTTAAAACAACATGCTGATACATGACACAATCTAAATTTAAAACAACATGCTGATACATGACACAATCTAAATTTAAAACAACATGCTGACACATGACACAATCTAAATTTAAAACAACATGCTGACACATGACACAATCTAAATTTAAAACAACATGCTCATACATGACACAATCTAAATTTAAAACAACATGCTGACACATGACACAATCTAAATTTAAAACAACATGCTCATACATGACACAATCTAAATTTTAAACAACATGCTCATACATGACACAATCTAAATTTAAAACAACATGCTGACACATGACACAATCTAAATTTAAAACAACATGCTGACACATGACACAATCTAAATTTAAAACATGCTGACACATGACACAATCTAAATTTAAAACAACATGCTGACACATGACACAATCTAAATTTAAAACAACATGCTGACACATGACACAATCTAAATTTAAAACAACATGCTCATACATGACACAATCTAAATTTAAAACAACATGCTGACACATGACACAATCTAAATTTAAAACAACATGCTCATACATGACACAATCTAAATTTTAAACAACATGCTCATACATGACACAATCTAAATTTAAAACAACATGCTGACACATGACACAATCTAAATTTAAAACAACATGCTGACACATGACACAATCTAAATTTAAAACATGCTGACACATGACACAATCTAAATTTAAAACAACATGCTGATACATGACACAATCTAAATTTAAAACAACATGCTGATACATGACACAATCTAAATTTAAAACAACATGCTGACACATGACACAATCTAAATTTAAAACAACATGCTCATACATGACACAATCTAAATTTAAAACAACATGCTGACACATGACACAATCTAAATTTAAAACAACATGCTGACACATGACACAATCTAAATTTAAAACAACATGCTCATACATGACACAATCTAAATTTAAAACAACATGCTGACACATGACACAATCTAAATTTAAAACAACATGCTCATACATGACACAATCTAAATTTTAAACAACATGCTCATACATGACACAATCTAAATTTAAAACAACATGCTGACACATGACACAATCTAAATTTAAAACATGCTGACACATGACACAATCTAAATTTAAAACAACATGCTGATACATGACACAATCTAAATTTAAAACAACATGCTGACACATGACACAATCTAAATTTAAAACAACATGCTGACACATGACACAATCTAAATTTAAAACATGCTGACACATGACACAATCTAAATTTAAAACAACATGCTGACACATGACACAATCTAAATTTAAAACAACATGCTCATACATGACACAATCTAAATTTTAAACAACATGCTCATACATGACACAATCTAAATTTAAAACAACATGCTGACACATGACACAATCTAAATTTAAAACAACATGCTGACACATGACACAATCTAAATTTAAAACATGCTGACACATGACACAATCTAAATTTAAAACAACATGCTGACACATGACACAATCTAAATTTAAAACAACATGCTGACACATGACACAATCTAAATTTTAAACAACATGCTGATACATGACACAATCTAAATTTAAAACAACATGCTGACACATGACACAATCTAAATTTAAAACAACATGCTGACACATGACACAATCTAAATTTTAAACAACATGCTGATACATGACACAATCTAAATTTAAAACAACATGCTGACACATGACACAATCTAAATTTAAAACAACATGCTGACACATGACACAATCTAAATTTAAAACAACATGCTCATACATGACACAATCTAAATTTAAAACAACATGCTGACACATGACACAATCTAAATTTAAAACAACATGCTCATACATGACACAATCTAAATTTTAAACAACATGCTCATACATGACACAATCTAAATTTAAAACAACATGCTGACACATGACACAATCTAAATTTAAAACAACATGCTGACACATGACACAATCTAAATTTAAAACATGCTGACACATGACACAATCTAAATTTAAAACAACATGCTGATACATGACACAATCTAAATTTAAAACAACATGCTGATACATGACACAATCTAAATTTAAAACAACATGCTGACACATGACACAATCTAAATTTAAAACAACATGCTCATACATGACACAATCTAAATTTAAAACAACATGCTGACACATGACACAATCTAAATTTAAAACAACATGCTGACACATGACACAATCTAAATTTAAAACAACATGCTCATACATGACACAATCTAAATTTAAAACAACATGCTGACACATGACACAATCTAAATTTAAAACAACATGCTCATACATGACACAATCTAAATTTTAAACAACATGCTCATACATGACACAATCTAAATTTAAAACAACATGCTGACACATGACACAATCTAAATTTAAAACATGCTGACACATGACACAATCTAAATTTAAAACAACATGCTGATACATGACACAATCTAAATTTAAAACAACATGCTGACACATGACACAATCTAAATTTAAAACAACATGCTGACACATGACACAATCTAAATTTAAAACATGCTGACACATGACACAATCTAAATTTAAAACAACATGCTGACACATGACACAATCTAAATTTAAAACAACATGCTCATACATGACACAATCTAAATTTTAAACAACATGCTCATACATGACACAATCTAAATTTAAAACAACATGCTGACACATGACACAATCTAAATTTAAAACAACATGCTGACACATGACACAATCTAAATTTAAAACATGCTGACACATGACACAATCTAAATTTAAAACAACATGCTGACACATGACACAATCTAAATTTAAAACAACATGCTGACACATGACACAATCTAAATTTTAAACAACATGCTGATACATGACACAATCTAAATTTAAAACAACATGCTGACACATGACACAATCTAAATTTAAAACAACATGCTGACACATGACACAATCTAAATTTTAAACAACATGCTGATACATGACACAATCTAAATTTAAAACAACATGCTGACACATGACACAATCTAAATTTAAAACAACATGCTGATACATGACACAATCTAAATATAAAACAACATGCTGACACATGACACAATCTAAATTTAAAACATGCTGATACATGACACAATCTAAATTTAAAACAACATGCTGACACATGACACAATCTAAATTTAAAACAACATGCTGACACATGACACAATCTAAATTTAAAACAACATGCTGACACATGACACAATCTAAATTTTAAACAACATGCTGACACATGACACAATCTAAATTTAAAACTGCTGATACATGACACAATCTAAATTTAAAACAACATGATGACACATGACACAATCTAAATTTAAAACAACATGCTGATACATGACACAATCTAAATTTAAAACAACATGATGACACATGACACAATCTAAATTTTAAACAACATGCTGATACATGACACAATCTAAATTTAAAACAACATGCTGACACATGACACAATCTAAATTTAAAACATGCTGACACATGACACAATCTAAATTTAAAACAACATGCTGACACATGACACAATCTAAATTTAAAACTGCTGATACATGACACAATCTAAATTTAAAACAACATGATGACACATGACACAATCTAAATTTAAAACAACATGCTGATACATGACACAATCTAAATTTAAAACAACATGATGACACATGACACAATCTAAATTTTAAACAACATGCTGATACATGACACAATCTAAATTTAAAACAACATGCTGACACATGACACAATCTAAATTTAAAACATGCTGACACATGACACAATCTAAATTTAAAACAACATGCTGATACATGACACAATCTAAATTTAAAACAACATGATGACACATGACACAATCTAAATTTTTAACAACATGCTGATACATGACACAATCTAAATTTAAAACAAAATTCTGACACATGACACAATCTAGATACATAACCCAATTTAAAAAATCTGGCTTCAATTACTAAAAAAACGTGAGTGCTAGTTTAAGTAAAACAGTAAAACACATGTTTAAATTGGGTTGTAAAAATCACAATAAATTCTTAATTAAGCTACTTTTGTCATTTTTAATTACAGAAGTAAATAGATAGCCTACTTGGAAACTATTGTAAAGTATTTTCTAAATGATGAGTTTCCATGGGTGATTAACTGGGTGCTAAACTGTACCATCTGATTTCCTAATGATAGTAATTTTAATAGTATGCATACTGTAAAAATGTCCTATTTTTTAATTGCTGAGTCATCTAAAAATATTTTGTGTCTATAGATGTCAAGCATTTCCCAACCTGGGCTTGTCTATTGTTCCTGAAATCAATGAAAGGAAGTGAGTATTCTTCTGGCGCTGAGGTCATCTTTTAACTTTAGACCTGTATTGTTAAAAAAATGTTAGTTTCTTGAAGTATGCCACTTGAATGTGCTGTATATGAACTGATTTATTTTCAGCACTGCAAACGATGCTATACGGGATAACTATGAAGATTATGATGGATTTTCACTGTCGGGTGAGTGGCTTCCCCTTTTTTCTTTAAGTGTTAGATATAAAATTATATATATATGTATGTATATATATATACATATATATATATATATATATATATATATATGTATATATATATATATATCTAATATATAAAGCTCAATTCTGTAACGCATATGTTTGTCGTTGGCATTTCTACGGATTTAAGTGTTAGATCAATTATCGTGCGCGTTTGTCTAAATTTATGAGTTAAAAAATTACTATTAAAAGTGTTGGGAAATCATTTTCATTTTTCAAATTATAGTAATAATTGTCGGCATGTTCATTAAACACAAGTTTTAAAAAAAATATCATCTTTTACAAAAATTCTAATTATGTCTTTCTTTAGTCCTATAGCGCTCACTTCCCTTTGATAAATTAGGCAAAACACAATTACTTCCCTTTATGAAATCATTGCATTAGTTGAAAAGCATTTACTTTTTAATTACTTTGTTTTGGTGTTGGGAAAAAAATAATTACATAATTAGCGGGGATTGATCAAGTGCAAATGTTTTAGGTATTTTACGGATAAGCTTGGAGTATTATAATTGTTCATTAAATTGAAACAGGCGCGTTCGTTTAAGTGAGTGCAAAAACTATGAATAAGTTGGGGTACTATAGTCGTTTATTAAGCTAAAACAGGCGATTCTGCCCCGGGCGTTTATGTTCGCGTTAGTGTTTTCTTTGTGTTTAGGTGGGTTTGCGTTAGTGGTTGCGTTTTGATTTGGTTCGTTTTTGTTCTTTCTTTTTTCGTTTTTGTTTTTTTTTGTTTGGGTTTGTATTTGTGTTTTTGGTTGGTTTTGCGTTTGGATTTGGTTTGTTTTCGTTTGCTTTTTCGTTGTTTTTTTTTTTGGTATTGGTGTTTGTGGTTGGGTTTGTTGTTAGGTTTTTGTTTTCGTTTGTTTTTTCTTTGTGTTTGTATTGGTGTTTGTGGTTGTGGTTGGGTTTGTTGTTAGGTTTTTGTTTTCGTTTGTATTTCTAATTGTGTTAGCGTTATGTTTGCGTTTTGTTGTTTTGGTTGGTTGTGGTTTGGGTGGGCAATGCCGGGTTTATGATGATTACTAAACACACAGGTAATGGTCTTTAACGGAAAGGTTTTTCACAGAAGCCAGAGCAGGGCCTGGCCGGGACGGCTAGTATATATATATATATATATATATATATATATATATATATATATATATATATATATATATATATATGTATATATATATATGTATATATATATATATATATGTATATATATATATATGTATGTATATATATATATATGTATATATATATATATATATATATATATATATGTATATATATATATATATATATATATATATATATATATATATATATATATATATATATATATATATATATATATATATATATACTGGCCCTGCACTGGCATATCTGAAAAACGTATCTATAAAGGACCATAACTTGTGTGTTTAGTAATCAGCATAAACCCGGCATTGCCCACCCTAACCACAACCAACCAAAACACACAAAAAACTCAAACATAACACTAACATAAAACAAACACAAACGAAAACACAAAAACAAACGCAAAGACAAAGCCAATCACATACACAAAGAAAAAAAACACTAACGCAAACAAAAAAGCAAACGAAAACAAATCCAAACGCAAACACAAACCCAACCACAACCAAACAAAACCAAAACACACCAAATGGTTTTTTTAAAGGGAAGTAACTGTGTTTTCCAAATCAAGGGACTTTATGAGAACTAAAGGACAAAATGCAAATACATTTCAGACACAATTTTAGAAACTTTATAAACGTTGATACACTTTTAAAAAAATGTTATGGTAATGTTCACAATTAAAAATTATTATTCTAAGTATATAAAATGAAAATTGTTTTAAAAGACTTTCAATAGTAATGTGTTAGCTCATAAATTTAGACCATGAGCCCTTTAATAATCTAACACTTGAATCCATGAAGTTTCTTTTTTTTAATTCGTTTTTTCTTATATTCCTTTGTAATCCACGACAAACATTTTACAAACATACAGAATTGAACTTTATATATATATATATATATATATATATATATATATATATATATATATAATTACAGGTATAGTGAAATACATTTGTCATGTTTTTATTCTAACCAGTCCCTTCCAGACACCAGTACACTGTGGAACCAAAAAAACACAACACGCCATTTTCTTCCAAAGTAAGTCTCATGCTAGTTGCTTGCCCATTCGTTTAAGTATAGGCCAACACACATATACCTCTCAAACAGGGATTCAGTTTAGTTGCATGTGTGTCTGCTTGGTGCACCAGTGTGCCAGAAGGGCGGCGCCCCGGCAGTAGGATGCCATTTGGCACCCTGAGTTCTCCATCGGCCATCTTAGCACCTAGGGTCCATTGATTGGACTTCCTGCACAGGGGATCAAAGGTCAAACTGCACCATTTGCATCTGCCAGCGGTTGAGTGAACCTGTGAGCACTAAGGGGCCATTGTTCATTTCAAAAAGTGCCATTAGCTATGGACAATGTGGGCTACTATAATCGTTGACTAAAGTGAATTAGGTGAGTCCATTGTTGCCCCGGCGGTCTGAAGTGTCCTGGGCTCCGCTGTGAGCACTATGGCGCCAACATTCATTTCAAAGAGCACTCTACAATAGTATACACCCATGCGATAGTGAAACTTGTGGCTCACAACACCCCTGTCATCAAGGTGTGTTCTACCTCAGTAAAACGGAGGGTGTTTAATGTCCACTTAAGTTTTTCATACAGAACGCCTTGGTCATCTGGGCGGTAGTGAGGACACCTGGCACCAATGACTATATCAGAGGCGTAGGGAGTGCCAAAATGGGTTGGAAAAACAAATTGAAAGTTTGAGGGGGGGGGGGTGCGTAAATCAAAAGTTAGAAGGGGGGTGCAAATCGAAAGTTTGAGGGGGGGGGGGGGGCTGCAAATCGAAAGTTTGTCCCCGGGCGCCGGGAAGGGTCACTACGCCTCTGGACTATATATGTAGAAATATGGCAGTTCCATTTTAAAATCTCAGTTTTACATAACAAAGTCACGCATCTAAAAGTACTTGATTGGTAACCCATTGATAAAATGCTCTTAAAATGTTGCATTCCAATATGCACAGAATAATCAAGGCTAATTTTTTCGGGGTTCCCATAATGTTTTGACCAGAAAATTCCCTGCTTCATACAATTTTCTCTGAGCCCAACAGCTGAACATAAACTCGGCAAATTAAATTAAATCGCAAAAAAATGCAGAAATCTTAATTTCTTTAAGGGTGTAACTCATTTTTAAAGTGAATCCTTAATTTCAATCCTAATAGCAAAATTTAAAAAAAATTCGGTCTAGCAACCATGAGCTTTACCGACTTGACCACGCCGACCCCCTGCCCTACAAATTTTGAGTAATTTCCGTTGACCGGAAGTAGTAATTTACGCTGTTTCCGATTTCTCAAAAAATGCATGTGAATTTATAAAGTACTAATAATATTCTGCACTATTATACTCATTTTGTTTGGCGTTCACTTAGTGCGCAATTCTTTTTTCTATAAGTTTCTATTCTATTTTTAAAAGTTTAAGTAATTTAAAATGAATTAAAAATATTGTCTATATCCCGAGTTGCCATCCCCCGTAGTGTTATATAAGAATATTTCAGAAAGTTTAGGGGAGATCACACAGAAAAAACTCAGAAATTGCGAAAACCCAAAAAGTGATAATCCGGAAAAGTAGCAGCCACCCCCCCCCCCCCCCCCAATTTTTTTAGACGCGTGGCACCGATCGCATTAGGTGGTAAAATGACTTTTTTTTTTAGTTTGCGCCAATACCGCTAGACTAGTTTTTGTGCAATTTTAGAGACCTAGACCACGAGAACTGGCGAGACTAGATTAAGCTAGGTTCATGCCTAGTCAGAATCTTGCGATATTTGCTGTGTTTCTTCCAGGGATCTCTTCAGTCCTAATGGAATTTATATAGAAAATATATACTTTTAAGTGTGTTGTCACCCCCCCCCCCCTCCCCGGTTTGAAATTTTTTTTTTAATTCACAGTAAAAAAAAAAAACCCCATAGCTAAGTGCTAATGTAGGTAGACCAAACTGAAATGGAGGCGAGCGAGTTGACGAGATTCCTTCCATAATATTGTTGACATGGAATAAAAACGTGCTTTTTAGATTTAGACCGTAAAAAAAAAATAAAAAATAAAAACTTAAGCCTAAAATTAATTAAGAAATTTTATATTTTTAGAATAAATGCTTTAAAAGTTGCAAATCCAGAGAACTTGAAAATAATTTGTTGAGTTTAAGGCTACATTTCTATTTATTTTCATCAAGCCTAAGTTATAACCGGATGTTTCACTTTCGTAAGACAAATATTGATTGGCTGTACAGTAACTTAGTGATCGATAACTATTTGTTTACAAAACTTTGCAGATCAAGTTTTTAAATAACAATGCAAATTTAAAACCCCATGACCTAGTTTTCTATTTTTAGCTTACAATGTGTACAATAAAATCAATGGCGGCCTATCCAATAGCAGGATGCCATTGTTTATGTCGCCATTACACGTGAAAACCAAATTGTTTTTGCTTTTTTTTTTAATTTTTATTTAGTTACCGAAAATATTATAAACATCAAATACATCCAATCTTTAGTAAAGTCCGAAAAAAACCAGACAGGATATTATAACCATATTAATCGTAACTACGCTGTGAATGATTTTTAAATGAATTTATACACCTCTCAAATACCTTTGAGACTTTTCTCGCTGGTGTCCATTAACAATTGATTGCAGACTTCTGTAATGAGTATGTCATGAAAGACATTTTAATTGTAAGCTCTATGACAAAAAATTTTTATTAAAAAATCGCAATAATAAAAAAAAGTTAAGCAATTTTTTAAAAAACAGAATTTGTTAAAAAACTAATTTTCAATAAGTGCCATTTTTGAGAACCAGAATTTCTAAAATAAATAACATAGAAGTATAGAAATTGGTAAAGTTTGTAATATCTATGCCCAATTTTTTTTCAGTCAACTAAAGCGAATCTTTCTAAGGTAAAAAAATAATTGAAAATTACAAGAATGCGTTTTGGTCATTTTTATTTTCAAACCAAAAAAAAATACTATTCAAAATTGTTTAATTTTTTTTTTGCTTTAGTAGACATAGAATAGCCCTAAATCTAAAACTGTTGTTTTGGTAACATTAACAGGAAGAATGTGTTATTTTAAAAAAATCACACGAGTAAAATATTATTTTAATAAATTTCACATTTATCTACTGCAGACAGAGATTAAAAAAATAATTTACCTTAGTCCTTAAAATAGAGTGTCTTTAGTTTTTAATAAACGGATAAAAATCTATATTAAAAATAGTTATTATAAATAGTTATTATAAATTTCTTTCGTTAATATTTTATGTGTTTTACCTTCGAAGAGCCGGCGTTAGGGGTACGCGGGGCCTAGGGCCAACCATCCGCGCGGGGCCTTATATTTTTACATTGGTTCTTAAAACATGTACAGTGAGGCGTTTTTTTTCTCTTCTCAACGCGAATTAATATTTATAACGATATATATGGTATTTTTAAGCTGCTTATCAATGTCGTATTATCATAAAGACACTGACTAACAAAAAAATGTGTTTACTTAGAGGTACTTTTGAAACGTTGCTTGCTTCTGTTAAGGCTTTTTGTTTGAAAGGTAAAAAATAAAACAGATATAAGTTCGAGACACGCATTTAAGAGACGATGAACGTCAGCTTCAAACCTGATTTCTTTACATATGTTTATTTATGAAAATCTTACCAGTACGTTCACAAACGAAGATCTACTTTTCTTGCCTTTCGTGAGGAAAATTTCATGATAATGTCATCATAGTCCAAACTGGAGGCTATGTCTTTTTCTATTGACAGAATCGACAGGCCGCAGAGCCTATCTTTGGACATCGTTGACCTCAAATCTATCTCTGTCTCTTGTAGCCATGGTGTTGAGGAAAATGGTGAAATCACGTTGAAGCAATGTTAAATCGTTCCACAATGGCGGGTGATAGTATCGATATTTTCTCAATTATTCGAGTGTTAACAGTGGCATTCAAAGTGTGTGGATGCCGGGGAAAATAGCAAAACATTGATAGATTTCGGAATAAGCTCGAATCGTGAAAAACACTGTTTACGGTTATAGATATCCAAATGAAATGACTCTCAAATGTAATCACGGACGCTCAGTAGGGTGGGGCACTGGGGTGGCTGACAGTTGTTGGGGTGAGGTAAAGGATAATTGTACATTTAAATCTATGGGATGCCAAACCCTAAAAAAATCAGTTCGAGTACTACGTTACTGGATCTCTGACCGCAGCCATTCAAGAGAAGGTGCGTGTTTATAGAGCGTCCACGTATTACATTACCTGTCCAGACAGCGGTCTCAGAAGAGAAGGTTCGTTTCTATAATTAGAAAGTGAACCATGTGACAGCCAGCTTCACCTTATTTATGAGTTTCGCGACGGCATGCTCGGACTGCCGGTAATTTAGACGTTTGAGAAATCAGGAGAACTTTACCATATAACAGTCTAGGCCCGATGTATCAACTAGTATAGACTTTATAATTTGTTTAGTATGCCTACACTATTTTAAAACAAGAATCACTATGGTCTTAACTATTATACTGAATATCCCTACAATTAATTAAAATAAACATGTGCTTAATCACTTTACGAATACCATCAAAATTAATATGAACATAATTACTGTATGGATGCCTATCAAACGTATCGTAGTGAATAAGCATAATTACATAAAAGATGCCCATACAGTGTATAAATTATGATTTTAGGGATAAATACTCTGGATGTCCCCATCCGCTCTCCCCCTCATCTGCAAGCCATCATCAGGTCACCCCCGCCTGCTCACTAAGAAAAACAACGTCTTCAACGGTCCGCATACAATAGGGTATCTCATTACGTGTTTTCCCGATTTTACCTCCCATGTCAGGTCGGGGTCTAGTTCGCGACCGCCATCTCCAGTCACCTCAAGACAATTGCGAGTCGACCGTGCTAGCGATGTCTGACACTAATGTCTTCGTATCGAATAACGGCCTGTCACAGTCCATGTAGAGGATAAACTCACTAACATCAGCCGTGGTCTCAGTTCTAACAATCAACAATTTCAGCCATTTAGTTGTTGTTTTTTTTTTTTTTTTTTTTTTAATTTAATTTAGCAAAGATAATTTAAGTTTACAAACTACTTCAGACAACAAAGACCGCCCCGTTTGCCTCCCCCTAACGCCGGCTCTGTTTACCTTAGTTCCCTGTAAATGATTGAGTCAATCCACATAGACTAGTAACCGGGATTGTCTGGTGGCCATTTTGAATTTGTCGATTAATAATTTTTACGTGATAGTCCAGATAAACACGTCTAAAGAAGTCTAAACACAATAGATCTGGATCAGAGTTTCTTCCAGGCATATCTTCGAATTTTTTTTACCGCCTCCCCCCCCCCCCCCCGAACGAAATTAAATTAATTTATATAGAAAATATATACTTTTAACAGTGTCCGCCCCCCGGAAGAAAGTCTACCGCCCCCCCCCCCCCCGAAAATTTCAAGTGCCCCCCCCCCCCCCCGGAGAAAAAAGTATGGAAGAAACACTGATCTTGATCTATTATGTACACGCATATGTCTTTCAAATGACATTAAGAATTTGTTTCTACGATGCTTAGCCGCAACCAAATGAAACAATATGGGGTCGATCGATACTCGCAAAATAGTCAATTATTTTTTAAGTAGTAACTGATACAAATATATAGATCTAGATCTAACACACATTCAAACGTGTTACAGATATAAAAATACCCGATTTTGACAGATAAAGACTTAGCCTAAACTTTATTGACATAATTTTTATTCTTATAGTTATAGCACCACTAGAAATAGAACTAGATCTAGAACATTTTGTTTGACCCACCCCAAAGCGTACTTTTTCGCCAGTTTGGGCTACCTAATTAACGCCATACATTTCCTTTTAGTTCAGCCGGGGGTTGATCATGTTCCGGATGCAATCTCGCCCTTACACGGAGCCACTAGACGACCCTATGGACTATTGAGCGTCTTGTCAGCCAGTCACTGTAGCACGGGGCTACTGGAGACACCACGTCAACTTTTTTTTTTATCCTCAATGGAGATTTAGATGAGAACTATTTACACTTAGAATATTTGATGCTTGTCATTTATATTAGGTTTCATACGTATATAAAGATTTATATACAAACAATGGCTTGCTTTTTTGAGTTGCTGACTGAAATACTTGTAACTGGCTGAGTGTAAGAAGTGTTTTTATTTTAACTGCAGCTAAGGGGGTCGTCATTAAATGACGTCACACTCGTAAGGGGGTCCGTAATTTTGTGACGGTGTATGATGAGGGTGAAGTAGATTTGTACTTCGATAGATAACACAACAGACGAAGAAGCCATTTCCTATGCACACCACGTTTTATTCTCAATCGGAAACAGGAAGCACATGACATGCAAGGGACATCACTCAAACATTATAAGACTAATACAAGAAGAGTGAGTTCCCTTGACTTCACAAAGCTCAATATATTACAGAGGGGGGTGTGTTCAGATGGTGTGACGTCACTTTTTTTTGCATTATAAAAAAGCGATGTTAGAAAACGAGTTTTAGCCGTTATTTCGCGTTTTTGAAAACGGTTTTAATAAATTGTAATAGAAATTGATCAAAGTACTCTGTTGACAAAGTTCTAACAAGATTTAGGAAAAATATCGATGTTTTTAAGAAAAATTCAACAGCAATTTTGAGGTGTGGCGTCATTTTTTTTTTGGGGGGGGATGATCTGTTTTTTTGTGACGTGTGGAGGGGAGGTAAAAGTCGTTAAAAAAAGCGTGACGTCAATTATGGATGACCCCTAAGTCTATGAAATAATTTAATTTTCTACTGTAGCTAAATGAGGCTAGCAAGGCTATGGAATATTTCAATGAGGCATGGATGGAAAGAAGTATACAAGATGAATCAAAATAGCTCGCACAATTCCAGTTTTATTTAGAACTTAACATTTTAAAACTAGAAAATGGAATATGTAAAATCAGCCCATTAAGATACATCAACTACTTGTTTTAGTGAACACCCCAGTACTTATGTTATAGAGAACACAATCTGCCATTCTCAAGATTTGCACAAGCAAGCACTCCAATCATCAACACTGATATTTTGTTAAAACTTTATTCAAGAAAACAGATCAACCATTTATTTACATATTAGTACATGTTGGATCCTGGTCTACTGTTGTCCTCCTCACAACATATGATGTAGAGTAGCGATGTGACATACTTACACGATGAATGAGCTGACTTTGTACAAACATACATTTAAAAAACTGCATTGATACTGCACAGAGATAACCTGATGGTATAAATAGCTCAGGGCATCAGATAAAACTGCAAACATTTGCTACACAGAGTTAAGAATACTGTACAGGAGTTGAACTGACCACAAGGCAGACAGCCCTGTACCAGGTACTAGGGTAAAAGCTTGCTCTAACTTGGGAAATGCTACTAGGAATAAAACATTAAAATCACAAGCTGCTGCTAAAAAACAACTAAACAAAATGGTAGTGAAACAATTTAAAAAAAATAAATTTCAATACATTTTAAAAGTCCATTCAAAATCAGTGTGATATTAGACTGAAGATTTCAACAAAAATAAATGGTACAGGATTATAAATTAATCTATTTCTGGAATCAGACAAGAGATTAGTCTTCATGTCTGTAGACATTATGAATCTAAGAACAGTGGTAAAATCATTGATCAGGCCGCAGACTAAGAAAGACTGGTTAGTGTTGACACATCCAATAAATATTTGTCATCCCCCCCCCTCTCCATGTTGTGTGGGCTCCAGCTGGTTTACTTGTGTAGAGTTTGAGGGGTGAAGGCCTTGATGGTTCCATTACAAGAGACCACTTGTTTGGTACAGAAGAGAGAAAAGCCTAGGCCCAAGAGGCTAACACCTGCAGGGATAACCCATCCACTCTGTTGGCTTGAGTTCTGGGAGAGTGACGTCCCTTGCTAAAGTAGGGAGGAAAACAAAACATATTTTAATGTTACAATGACTTAAGGCTGGAGATTTGCTTTGAAAAGTAGCTACCAATAATTAGGATGTTAAATTTGGATTGGTTTCTAGCAACCAGTGAAAGCTTTTAAATGTCAGACTTTTAGATTTCAGTCTTCTGTTTTCAGCTATAAATCAACACTACCCTAATAAGTCATGATGACACCATACAGCCATATACCACCAACTCTACCTCAGTTGATTCATGCTGACAATGACACCATACAGCTATAAACCAACACTACCCTAATAAAGTCATGCTGACACCATACAGTCATATACCAACAACTCTACCTCAGTTGATTCATGCTGACAATGACAGACATCCTAATACTAGAGTACACCCGGCCTTAAGGCTTTATTGAGTCAGGGAAAGTAAAGATAGTGGACATAATGCCGACCAATAGTACCCAAGGTAAAATATTCTACTTCACCTGCCTCCATAGGCATTCTGGTTTAATAAAAGGGTACTTTACACTAAGAGACGTGAATACAAATAGAAATTACCTCAGTTACCCTCAGTATTGGCTGAGTGTAAGATCTCTTGTGTCCAGATTGAGCTTTAGCTTTGAGAGCTAGCTTACGAACAGCTCTAGTGCCTGAGTGGATGATGCTCATACTCGGAGAAGGAGATTACTTTCAACCTGGACTAAAAACAAAAATATTGGAATTAAAGTCAGCCTGATAGTTTTTTTAAAGAGTGTAACAGTTTATTTAGACTGAAGACTCCGTGTGGCTATGTGATTTATAAACAGTGACTGCTGCTCTGAAAAATCAAGGCAAGAAACTGATAAGGATATTATTTTAACCTCATTACTGATAATGATTTTATTTTTTTAACCTGGTTACTGACAAAGATAAAAAAACAATTGTTTTGGTAATAAAGTCAACCTGACCTTTCAAAACCAAGCACAAAGAAAATGTTATTTTAGATATACTAGTGCTAGAATATTGAAGCCATTTGACTCACCAATATGTATTTTATTTATCTATCTTTTATAATAAGGTTAATCTACATTAGTTTATACTCAGGGCAAAAAAAGATGACTGGTTTAAAAGGTTAAGTGATAGGTATGCACCTTTATATTGAGGGCAAGTCAACATATCCTTTTACCTGTAAATTTACCCAGTGTTAAAAGCTTTCTCCTACATAGTTTGTTCAGATGGATTTCAGAGCATTAGAAATCTAGTTTCAAATTGCTTTGTAAAGCTTTCTCCTACATAGTTTGTTCAGATGGATTTCAGAGCATTAGAAATCTAGTTTCAAATTGCTTTGTAAAGCTTTCTCCTACATAGTTTGTTCAGATGGATTTCAGAGCATTAGAAATCTAGTTTCAAATTGCTTTGTAAAGCTTTCTCCTACATAGTTTGTTCAGATGGATTTCAGAGCATTAGAAATCTAGTTTCAAATTGCTTTGTAAGCATCACCATATAATGTTCATGAAGATAAGATCACAGGTTGAAACATTGACTAGAATATGTTTACATTTTGACAAATTAACAACAAAAAACAAGTTTTGCCAATAGATACTTTTAATAGAAATAACTTATTTACAGAATTCACAAATGAAATGTAATGATTCTTGTTTTTGTACTACAGAAATGTTGGCATAAGCTAAATCATCACAGGACAATCAGCATGATGACAGTAGTTTGAAACCACATTTGAAGATAATACAATCCCTTGGTGATCAAATTTGTACGGCTAACTTTCTTGCTTTAAATTGGAAATAATTTTAGGGTCTAAGGAATCAACAATGAAAACTTGTAGCTGAGAATCTAAAGGAAATGGTTCATTTTCCTCAATCACTTGTTGTAATGTTCCTGTGGTATTGCGTTTAGGCAGAGTCAAACTTGATGCAATAACAGGCTCATCACCTTTCAACTGTACAAGCCCCTCACGGATCCTCTGCACAATTTCCCCTGGAGAAAGAGCTGATGGTATGAGTGTCTCATCTTGTTCATACACCTGCCTGAGCTCTGGTATGAGCTGGTAGTCTCCCGAGCTGGTCCTGCCCTTCAGCACCTGGGTTACACTAGACTGGGCCAGCAGGTACAGGCTGAGTACAGCTGAGTCCAGCGTGGTCCCCTCCCACTCCTCCAGCTGACTCAGCACACACTGCAGGCCCTCACACCGGCTGCCAGCAACTTCTGTCAGACCATGTTGCTGCAGGACCCACGAGCCCAACTTGTGGGCCACGGTGTGCACATTTTTCATGTAGTACTCCAAAAATGGAGAGTCCCATTTGGACAAGAAAGAGATGATACCATCTTTATACTCAGCCTCCGTGCTGGACTGGAGAAGTGACCTGACACTGTCTACATAGAAGACAATTTTATCTGCGGACTGCACTCCATGTGAGCTCAGCCAGGATTTGCAACCCTGGACCACATTGTTCCAGCACAGGAACTGTGGCAGGGTAGGAAAACTTGCCTCAATGGCCGTGTCTACACCATCCAACTGCTCTGCAACTACAACAACATGTTTCTTCAGTTCTGGACAGACCTCTTTCATGTGTTGCCAAAAGATTTCATGAGAAAGTGCACTTTTTTTCCCATGTACCATGAAAGCTAGGGGCACAGTTGGTGCAATAAGAAATTCATTTTCCTGGAATGTCAGAACAGAGACATCAAATTCAGCCAGGTTAAATGTGCTGTAAGTTAACAGCTGGACAACATTTGTACGTTTTAGTATGTCCTTAAGTATGTCTACGCTCTCATCCATCCACATAACAATTGTCAGGTCTGGAAATGTTGTGATGTGACGTACAAATGTAATGCCACATGCAAATTTATGCAAATCAAACAAAGCATCCTTTGGAAGTCTAAAGTGACTTTGACCAGACTTTGGTGCACTAGAGACTTGTGGAGCCGATGGTTCATCTGCTTTAGCAGCCAACTCTTGGAACAGCTTTTGTGCTGAGACACTTATTGCTTCTGACTTTTTTATTTTGACACCCCCAGGTAAAGCCCTTGTTAGGTTTCTTGCTGATTTCTTGCCCACTGTGCCAAAGCCGTCAGCCTTAGACTCATCCCCAAAATATTGTACGAGGACAGTTTTTGGGTGATCATGATGAAAAATGGCAGATCTTGTGAACTCCCGGCTCCACTGCCTTGGACCAGTGTAGATCTTGAAATATTTCTTTGTCATGTTGTCTAGGTGGTTAGAACCACCCTGTCTCCACCTGTAACCATCTGCTCTCCACTCATCTAAAGAATACATTAAATTAATTAGATATTCACTCATATAAATTCAAAATACAACATTTTTTTATTAGTTGATAAAAAAAATCCCCCCCCCCCTCAAAGTCTCCTCATCTGTAATATTTACTTTCCATGATTGGGCAACATCAAGGATTGATTTACCTTTGTTAGAATCATCATTCCAAGCAAACAGATAATTTGTGCCACCTGGGGGACGGTTTCTGGGTAGAAATTCTATTGGCAGAGTTGAAAATAATTCATCAACTTCACTGGGGATACAATGAAGATAAAATACAGAAAATAATAAAACATGACAAGAAAAATACACCATACTTATTTTTTACTATGGCTTGACATTATCAAATACACTTGTATGGAATGTAATAAGTAAATTAAGTTCATAAACACAAGTGATTAACAATAGGCTGTACTAGTTAAGCTCCATAACTATTTTAAACAAAATGATTTTCATTTATTGATTCTTACCTCATCTTTAACTCCAAATTCTCTGCGTACAAAAAGAAAAAAAGTTGTAGCCTATGAAAAAGGTTTCGCTCTTGGATATTTACTGTGTACTAAACATGCATGAAAAAATAAAGACATCCAACTACAGAAAGCAACTATATTACACCGCTCTAAAGTCATAACTGAATATAGTTGTCAGAAAGTGAAAACTGGAGAAACTGTTGTAAAACTATAAAATACATTCAAATAGGTCATGTCTTGTTTACAATAATCCATAGGGCTTTTAGAAAGTTTGTTTTCAGTATTTCTGCAAAATTTAGTTTTACTGATATTTTGAACTTTAACAAGGGCTGTAAAGTATGCAAACAGCGTGCCAGATTTATTTGCACTTTTATTTTCAATTAACTGTTCACTGAAATAAATTCAATAAAATAAATTAATGTAACTAATTAATTTAGTACCAATGTACTGAGCAGGTGTTATAGCTTTTTTAGGGGAGGGGTGTGTAGAGATTAGCTTGATTTATTTGAGGTTTGAATCATATCCCATTGTCAGTCAAGTGACTATAAACACAAACTCTTTTCCTCACCAATGTTGCCTCCTTCCTAACCCTTACAACTAAGATGTCTGAATAGTGAACAGTTACCTAAACCATGTTGTAAATATTGGTAAGTTTTCATCAATAACTAGAGTAACTCTAAAATTCACTGATAATAAAAAAATTAGTTATCCATAGCAATTTAAAGTTTCTCTGGCATATTTTACATTGCCATCTATAGTTTGTTTATATCACGTGAAAAAAATGCCATTTTTCAAGTGTGAAAACATTTTAAAAAATAATTCCAAGAAATGGCAACTTGTGACGAGGAGTAATGGTATATCTGAATAAATGAGCATATTTATTTTACTTGCTGTTATATTTTGTACATATTTGCAGAGTTTAGCTAGAATGATATATAGAGCTTGTAGATGTTGAACTGAATAAAAATAATACAGAAAGTATACTCTTTGTTTTCCTCCCCTACCCCAAAAAATTTGCTTTCAGCGCAAATATAAACATTTCTAAAGCTTTGTTTTATTAATGTCAAAATATCCAAAAATAAATAAGTCTATAAAGATCAGATGTATCTGCTTGGGAAAGTTTCTCTTAAGAGGAAACTTTTCAAAAATCTAAATTTTAACATGATTGAAACTAACCTTGATACAGGAGGAAGACAAAAGAAGAGACAGCATGCAATTACATCGCAAAACCATCAAAACAAAGGGAAAACCATTATAATTTTTTAATTAATATTAGGAAATGATCTTTAAAACTATTTAATGTACCATAATGATAAATCAAATACTTAGTATGCAAAACCAAATCACGTGTGCCAGGTATAAGTAATGGGAAGTTTTCCCAGGTCATGTTTTTACGCAAACACTGCCGATACAGACAAGCCTAATGTTACTTAGGTCTCCTAAATTTTGGACCTATAAGCCCTAGGTAAATAAAATTTAATAAGTGATGTTTGTGAGGTAACATCACAATACAGCGTAGGAAATTATCTGGTAACGCTTGTTGAGTTTGTAAACATTCATGACTGTAAACCATAGTTTATTTGATAGTTGAAATATAATTTAAATAAAGTCGAGTGTTTTAAATTAATGTTATAAAAAGAAACAGAAAAAAAACTTGCAGGAGATTTATAACAACTAAATTCTATATCTATAGATCTAGGCCTAATTAAATAAGATGATTAGCTTTACTATTCTAAAGTAGTAAGAAGGACTAGAACAATGCTTAGTAGCAGCACATACCCCTACACTTAAAATAATTAATTAGAAATACAAAATAATTAGAAAAACAGTATTTTAAGTGCAAACTTCTTTCTTCTTCTTCGTTCTTAATTATTAGTGTTGAAGGGGATCGAGATTTATCTGCCAGTGGGTTTGAACTCGAGACTTTGTTCGAATTTATCAACCATGAGCTTTTTGCCGACTCGACAACGCTTCCAACACAATTAAGCATTACGTGTCAACTGGAGATTTCAGCCTGCTTTTCTTTTTGGATTTGCTTCCATAGCCTTTGTCCAACCAAGAACAATCTACAAGGCAGCAGTTGTTTAATTTTGGAGTTGTCTCTCCTAGAAGAGTGGCTGTCCCCAGCTAACTAGCCTCATATGCCCGAGGGTTCGAACTCGAGACTTTTCGGTTTAGCAACCATGAGCTTTACCGACTCGACCACGCCGACCCTTAAGTGCAAACAAAATCAATCTATGCAAATTAATCATTTAATCAGGTCTATGTATGAAAAGTATGGCGTCAAAAAAAATATGGTTTACAGTCACAGTGGTTTCCAGAACGGCGTGACAGACTACGCCAAGGTTTTACTGTTTTTTACTTCTGAACCATTCCAGAGTTATGACTGACGCTCTATTGTGGGATTACCCAAGGTTTAGGCCTCAAGTTTATTCCAACGTGCCGAAGATTATCATTGGTGCACGTTGGAGTTTGGTTGCAATAAAATTTTGGTAATCTATCGCTTTAGGTATGTAAAATCGGCCGAGGCTAGTAATGTGAAAAGAAGGGGCCTCATTACATTTTAGTTATTATTTCACACTTTAAGGAAGATGTATGTTTTGAAAGTTACAAAAATGTTTTAAAGTTTCATTCATGTACCTGTTTTTAAACAATTGTAGGCCTATTAAAACTTTTCAGAAATAAAGACTAGTGATGTTTTCATCAGATGAAACAAAGCTCGTTAAATTCCGCAGCCATCTTGCTTAAGTTTTTTATTTTGGTAAACTATATTTGACACAAACATATCACAATATTCTTCAATTAAAGCCTTAACAATGAGGCAACTTTGTCGCACATTACTGTAAATTACAGTGTAACAGTAATAGATCTACTTGCCTCGGCCTATTTTACGTACCTAAAACGAACGATAGATTACCAAACTTTTGCAGATATCAGTGCAATTATTTACCTACACCTACACCAAGGCTACATTGGCCTACAAGTAAAATAAAATGCGAGGCAAAAATCATTACAATGTCACGTGACATGCAGTTTTCGCATCCTCTCGCATTTTACCGCCTCGACAGTTGCACCAAGTCCAAGACCCCTGGTGGCCTGGTTAATAATATAATAATAATAATTTAGAAAATTTTAGTAGGCCTAAACTTTGATTTAGTTAATAGTACTAAAAGGTTCCCTCACCAAACGGCTTGTCAACAACAAGCAGAACTTCAACAGCCCTTAAGTCTACTTAATTATTCTGAAATAATGTTATCGAAAGTACTGTAATCTTGGCCTTCGAATCCGATTATGACATATCCACCTTTTCCAAGGTTTTAACTTGCCCTTGCGGAGATTCTCCTAAGCAACGAAAACAGACGAAATGTTCCGGAAACTTCGAACTAAATTGTATTATAAGTATTAGATCTATTTATCTACTAGGCTTGGCATCCGCTGTAATGATAATATAAAATAAATATAAAAAGCTTTATAATAACAAGCCTTTAAATGCCCTGAAAATAAAAAAAACAAAACAAACTTCAAACTAAAAGCTTTGGTCGCTCATAATTTTAGCGACCAAAGCTTTTATCAATGATGTTTATTTCCTTATTTTCAGTGCACGTAAAAGCTTGTTGTTGTAAAGCTTTTTATATTTATTTTATGTTAAACTTTTTACTATCTGGTAAATTATAGAGAAGGTATTGTAATCGTGCAAAAAAAAAATCGAGATTTTTGCAAATGCCGACGTTTTACACCTCCCGGAGTCGGAAAAATATAATTTTGCAATCTTGCCCGTATATCTGTGTGTCTATGTGTGTATGTGTATCTGTAAACTCGATAACTTGAGTACTGTTACAGCTAGGTTGATGAAATTTCATATAAGTATTAGAATCTATATCAAATTTGTAGATCCGTATCAACGTTTCAGCGATTTCCGATAACCGGAAGTGGAACTTTTTCTACTTTCAATTTTTCAAAAGCCTATAACTTGAGTACTGTTTTAGATAGATAAATGAAATTTCACAAATAAGTAAAAGATCTAATTCTCTGCCTTTTGTCAAATTTTGAGTAAGTAATTTTACGTTATTTCCAATTTTTCATAAAACGCATGTAAATTTATAAAGTACTAATATTATCCCGCACTATTATGCACTTTTTGTTTGGTGATCATTTGGTGTGCAATTCCTTTTTCTACGAGATTCTATTCTACTTTAAAAAGTTTAAGAAGTTAAAAATGGATTAAAAATATTGTCTATATCCCGAGTTGCCATCCCCCATTAATACTAACGAGAAAAATGGCCCGTTGAGGAAGGATACAACGGGCGCTGTCTATTTTCTCTAAACTAAAACCAAAACTAAAATCACCACCTTAATTCAATTTAACCGGAAACGAAAAATGACATTGAAAACGGATTTTTATCCAGAATTGGTACTTTAATTTATACAAAATATAGTCATAGGCATATCCCTAAATCATGCACCTAATCTCATTCATGACAAAAGTTGCATTTAGAGTTTCTTTCAGGCAACTCTACTTGTGAGGAGGCCCCCCCCCCCCCCCCCACACACACACACCCCAAAACATGTCTACGAAATATAATTATATACTTTTTCCAGTGTCTGCCACCTCCCAGAAAATTCTACCCACGCGCCCGAAAATTTCAAGTACCCCCACCCTTCTCTGGGGAGGAAAAAGTCTGAAAGAAACACTGGTCGCATTTGTAGATCATACAAACTAAAGGATGAACCTGGGCGGGGAAGAGATGCATGAAAAAAACTGTGCACGCTAAACACTTGTTAGATTAGAAAAAGTTTTCCCCTCCGGGAAGGAAAAAGTCTGAAAGAAACACTGGTGTCGCGCTTAGCCACTACCCGAAGAATTGCACGAAAGAAACTGCAAGCAAACCACTTTTTAGATTAGGCACATTAATTAGGCGGTAATTTTTTATTATAGAGTATCGATGAAGAAATTTCTTTTGAGTTGGGGTGGGGGGGGGGGGGGGGGGTGGGGGCGGCTTAGACGTTTCTCGAGGGTGGGGCTTTGCCCCTACCCGAAGAATTGAATGAAACTTCACACAAACCACTTAGATTAGACAAAATTGCCTTTTTATTCAATGTTTACTCGAGAATCAATGACGTCATTTTACTTTTTAAATTAAATTGTTTCTCTAATTAAATTTAAAAAAAATATTCATGTATTGTCATCGAAGAAGAACGTATCTGGAAAGTTTTAAAGAAATCACAGCATTAGAAGTGGGTCAAAATTTGTCACAAATCCGCACACAAATGGACATTGGGAACTAAGTAAAAGCTTTTAATTAGTCATAGAATTTAGTGGCCCACCAGGACGCTCTTTATCACGAATGTATGCGCCATAATGCTCACGGTGGAGCCTGGGATGCTCCAGGTCACATCACCGTAGGCGGAGGCGACAGGTTTGATTTAGTCACCGATAATAGTAGATCACTGTGTCCATAATGTATGGCACTCTTTCAAACGTATTTAGGTGTATCCACGAGGGAGCCTGGGGGTGATTCAGGTCACCCAACCGCCTGGTGCGATTTGACAAATCAACAGACTCTAGGAACTAAGAACAAGATGCAAAACCCCACCATACTGCCAGGGCACTGCCACTCTGAATTAATTTTGAATCACATAATATATAACAACTTCCCAAAGTTTCATAGCAATTGGGTGTAAGGTGTAGTACTGCATAAAAGATGGATACATACTTTCATTAATGTATATATATATATATATATATATATATATATACATATATATATATATAAAATATATATATAAAATAATAATATGTATTTGCATCACCCCACTGCTCATTGTAGAAAAAAGGCTGACGCGATATTTTATGATGGTTTCATAAGCGAGTTACCAATTACGCATTTTTAGACGTGTGACCTTTTTCTAAAACTGAGTTATTAACTGAGTGGGGGTCGGCGTTGTCGAGTCGGTAAAGCTCATGGTTTGCAGATGAGGCTCGTTAGCTGGGGACAGCCACTCTTCTAGGAGAGACAACTCCAAAATTAAACAACTGCTGCCTTGTAGTTTGTTCTTGGTTGGACAAAGGCTATGGAAGCAAATCCAAAAAAGAAAAGCAGGCTGAAATCGGAGTCAATGGCCTCAATGGCGCATAACCAGTTGACACGTAACGCTTAATTGTGTTGGAGGCGTGGTCGAGTCGGCAAAAAAAAAAAAGCTCATGGTTGATAAATTCGAACAGTCTCGAGTTCAACCCCACTGGCAGATAAATCTCGATCCCCTTCAACACTAATAATTAAGAACGAAGAAGAAGAAGACGCGTGACCTTTTTCTAAAACTGAGTTATTAATTTGTAAACAAAGCAGGCGCTATATTTTTTTTGCTATAATTTTTTTTATCAGTTGTTGGGGCGCGGGTTTGTCCACACTACAGCCCAGACGCTGCAGGGCGTGCCGTAAAATTGTCTTGAGTGTACGTTAATCACCATTCGTAATGTTATAGTGAGGTAGAACATACATCGACAACTCTCATGAGCCACCGGTTACACTACCACAGGGGTGCTGGGTACGGCCCCTGGTTTGGTTTAATTTTCAAATGTCATGTGCAACGTGTCCCTACTTTATCCATAGTGTATGGCACTCTTTAAAATGAATGTAGGTGGCATAGCATAGCACCTTGGCGGCAGACGCGCCTGGTTTGATTTTGGTGAACGATTATAGTATCTCATCGTATCCATAGAGTATCACACTCTTTGAATGAATGTAGGCACCACAGCACTCATGAGAAAGCTTAGTACGCCTCATCGTACCATTTACTGCAAAATTAAAATTCTGTCCCCACAGAAACCTCCACAGGAGTATTCTCAACGGCTTCCCAAAGTTCCATGGCGAGCAGATGAAAGGTGAAGAAATGCATACAGGACTGACAAACATATATTATATTATATATATATATATATATATATATATATATATATATATATATATATATATATATATATATATATATTAGCACTTTTTCAAATGTTTCTTAAGGCCGATGAAGTAGAGTTAATTTGGTACAATTACATCTATATACAAAGCTTTTGTAGCACTATTCCAAGCAACCTTTACTTTCTTTGCTGAAGTCAAGTACCCAGCATAACTGAATGAGTGAGTGATGTCCTACAGAACTCCAGCACCAAACTCAGTTATAGTTATCTGGCCACATTGTTTTACAACACATTGCCACATTGTTTTACAACACTGAATACAGGAAAGAATGTGAAAAGAGCAACACCAAGTTTTTAACTTTAACTGAACTGCTTTGTTTAATGCATTATGCATAATAAATAATTGCATGATAAAATAGTGAATCTTGTTAAGACTGAACAAGAAAACAAAAACTAAATAATATCAACAGTGATATGCCGAACATATTTACATATTTATTATTATGATTAAAAAAGTTCCTAAACATGCAATTTCACAGCTTAGACACAATCAGTTATTATAAAATTAAACAGCATATGAGAAAAAAAAAACCATCACATAATTCTACAAGTGATCACAACAAAGCATTTAGATTCTTTAGAATAGGGAGGGAATTAAAAAATTAAAATTCCCAATTTTTTCTTTAAACAAACAGCTTTGCTTGTATTTTTTAAAACAATCATCTGAATAGGCAATGAAATATAAAACCATACATGCTAGACAGGTACGACAATTTATGAAGAATTTAGAAGCAATTGGTGTAAACCAACAAGGGGATTTCTGGGGAGAGTTGCCTAAGTCTGTAAATCCAATACTCAACCCCTAACACTCATGGCAGCTACATTGCTCATTACCAAACCAAATGGTTGACTTTTCTTTGCTAGATGTAAGTTAAGTAATGATAATATACTATTAGCAGTACAATACTTGAATATATTCTTTTTAAATATTTGTTCCATTTTTTTTTAAATATGTGAAATAAAATTTTTGAAGATATCCAGAATATTTTTCATCAATAAAATTAAATTAAAAAAAATATTAGGAAAATAGGCTGCTATTGCTATGGTTGCTTTATGCGAACAGTTAGTACTGACTCTTTAAATGGAAGACACCATAAAAATTAGACATTTAAAGCTTTATGGTGTATTTTAATTATGTTCTGGTGGTTGAAAATTAAAACACTTTTACCAATTTATTCTTTGGTAAAAAATTTATTCATCCGGTTTGCATAATACTGCTATATAATTAAATAGCTAACATATTTTCTGAGCAGCTTTAAGGGGAAATATTTACCAAGTAGCAACTAGTCTTTAAAACTCTCCAAACATTAACTGTTGGAATGATCTGAAATTGTTCAAACGGATAGAAATGAATTGAATGGAGTACTAGAGAAGCATAACCAACGAGAGTAGGGTTTGTACTTGCCACTACTATCATTCTATACACCAGGGTAGCTCTCCAGAATGCTACTTTTGTTATATCTCAGTTTCTAATCATTAACATCACCCAAATCATTAAAAAATTGTCAGCAAAAACAAAATTAATAAACAAAACAAATTTTTTTTCTTTAACTTGTAAAGCTGGACCAGAGTTAGTTACAATCACTTGAATAGCATGATGTTGGTAAAAATTTTGCCCGGTGGGATGGACATACAGAGCCAGCCAATGATTGACAGGTGGGTTAAACAACACTAAATCAATCATGGAAGGATTGTCAGGTGGGCTAAAAACACTTGATCAATCAGTGGATGATTGCCAGCAACCATGAAAATAAACTAAAGATAACATTTTCTGAACACACTGAACATTTCCATTTTATAAACCCTGAGTAGGGTTGAATAAATTCACAAAATCTTCTTAACTAAAACCTTGATTAATTGAATTTGCTGTTTTTTTTTATGTCTAAATCTCCTTTTTCTCGTTAAACAATTATTTTAGAATTAAAACTGTTGTTTTAAAATGTATTCAGATGGTTTAGGTCAGGGGTTCCCTACCCCGTGCCCGCGGGCGCCATGGCGCCCGCCGAACGATTTGTATGTGCCCGCCTCTCACTATTCGACGGAGACAGATTTTTTTCATAAACATTATTGAGAGGTTGAAGGGGGTGATAATCGAAAGTTTGAGGGAGGGGGGGTGCAAATCGAAAGTTTTGTCCCCGGGTGACGGGAAGGGTCGCTACGCCTCTGGAAGGAGTTTAAAATAGGTGGTGCCCGCCACCCTACCAATATTTTAGAATGTGCTCTAGAGTAAAAAAAGGTTGGGAACCCCTGGTTTAGGTGAATGAAAAAACCTAATTTAGAAGTTTAGTAAATTCAAACAAGTTTTAAGATTTCTAGGGTACTGAGGTGTTGGTGGAAAAGCAGACACCAAACATCACGGTGGATAAGTGGACTAACCTAAAAACCTGAACAGAGTTACAAACACTGCTCTCAGCTAGCATGGGTCACCTGTATTGCTTATGCCAAATGGAAGATCAAGCAGGAATCAATAGATAATATTTACACAACACAAACTGATTTGTCTCACCAGCGAAAATAAAGCTAGTACAAAAAATGGCAACAGCTAGGAGAATCACAAACTTAAGGGTAATCATTTGAAATTCAAATGTACAAGATCAGTTCCAAAAGTGGTACAACTAAATAAAATTCAATCAGCACCTTGACTGCCACCAGCTGGTTGAGGCAGACTGCTGGAACAAGTCCGCCTGGGCATCAGGAATCTTCACAGCCCAAAAGTTCTTTCATACCACGACAGATAACCAAAGTCTGGAACACAGTCAGCCCAAGGGTCTTTTTTACACGGGTGTAGAAGGCGTCGGTGTCACGATGATATTCAAAAGCCATTCGTTGTAAGCCTTTAGCGTCCAGATTACTCAAGCTAAAAGAAAAAAATAATTATTTTAAATAAGAACATTGAATTAGTATCTGTTATGATTGTTTATGAACTTTATGAGGCAACCATGTTAGAAATATTTCTCGCTGATAAGTAGAGTGGTTTAGATGGAGGGGGGAGGGCATATGAAGAACAATATTTTATGCATTCATGGTAGCATCTAAATTAGCCAGCCCACATCAGGTTATAACCCCCCCCCCCCCACTCATTAATCACTACTGTTATAAAAACCATCGTGATTTAATTACCTGCTGACTGGTGTAAACAGATTAAAGCTAGCCATGATTATGTATGTAGAATAATTGAAGTTTCATGTTTCTATATGGTAAAACTAATCATTTCCTCATGGATTTTTACCTCTTTTTACCTCTTTCTCCTCATTGAGCTATATTTTTCTTCCTTGAGCTATATTGCTTTACCATACAAATGACATGGGTTGTGGGAAGTTTTAGACAACAAGGGTAAAAAAAGTTACTCACTTCTTGCAAATCTTATCCAGGTGATGATTTCTGAGCCAGCTGGAGACTTCATCCTTGCTCCAAGACGCAATGGTGGACAGGACGTGAGGAGCACCGGCCCTGGGGGAGCTCAGGCTGGGAGGGCCAAAGTGGGACTTGTTAGCTGAGGACTGGGAGGAGCAGGTGCTGGCAGCGTCGTCCTCATCCTCATCTGGTTCATGCTTCATTGGTCTGTGGGCGCCAGTTGGCTGTGGCGGCTGGGCTAGCATGGTCTGATGTCTGGTCATGGTGCCACCAGCTTCTGGGGATCTCAAATCTTTCTCAGTAATCTCAGTACTGTTACCATGAGTATAATGATGATTTTGTTGTTTACTGGCATCTGTACTGTGGCTAGCAGCTTTAGAAGCAGGTAAAGCATGAGGGTGTGCTGTGTGTTCTTCTCTGATGTTACTGGCCTGGGTAGATTCACGCATGAAGGGAAATTGAAGGGGAGAAAGGTTGTCTATGTAGGGTGATGGAAGCTTATTCCTGGGATAGGAACCCACTGCTGTATTGTCAGGCTGGGTCTCTATGGTCAACTGGGTGTTTACATCATTAGCCTGGCTTACAGGTGGTTGCTGCTCCAGGCTGCTGTCCCTACAAGAAGGTTCCTTGACCAAATTGATGCTGTCCCTAGGGTGGGGCCGGCTAACAGAAGGTTCCTTGACCAAATTGAGAGCCACATCAGGCTCGTCCATGTCAGTGCTGAGGTCAATGACCTCTCTCAGATTCAGGGAGACACCAGAGGAGTTGCCTTCATCTTTGACAAGAGATAGGTCTGGCACCTCATCCCCGTCTGAACTGCTGCACTTTGCTGGCAGAGCTGCCGTCACAATGTACCTCTGTGAAGCTGTCGTCATGGTGACACTGGTGGCTGGGGATGCCACATGGACAGTAAAGTCACAGCTGTCTAGCTCCGGGGTTGAGGTGTGCCATGCAAACAAAATATCTGCAGGGCTGATCTGGCTTTTTGGATAGTTTTTGGCCACTGGGGGATCAACAACTACTGCTATGCCTTTCATAGGGACCTGTTTTGAAAGCTGGCTATAATTACTATCTTGGCCTGAAAGCCTTTGGTGACCAGCTCCTTGATCCTCTAGACCACATTCCAAACCCATGGTAACAGATGTTACAAGTTTATGGGCAAAACTTTGGGCATTTTCTGGAGTGTAAGGTCTGGATGTTGCAGGCATCTGGGTATCAGCAATAATTCTGGCAAATAAATTGTCTTGCGAGGGGCGCCTTGAGGCAGGTGTTACAGTTACCTGGTTAGCACTTGGCTCAGGTGTTGGTGCAGATCCAGAAGGTGGGTTCTGTCTCCCAGCACTCCATGCCCATTCTGGAACAACAGCCTGTCTGGGAACTTGATCTTTGTGGATGTGAGTGGATGGACTGTCCATAGACTGACGCCTGTTAGGGGAATGACTGTTGTTGTGACTGTCAGTTGCAAGGTCAAGAGAGCCTTTGGCAGAGTGAGCCACAGCGTCAATGTCCTGCAGGTGTCTGGGCTTGGGGTGATCCACACCAGGTTGGCTATTGCCACCCAACAACTGCCCCCCATCCTCATGGTTATCTGTTATCTTATGCTGACCCTCAACTTTCACTCTGATATGTTGAGGTAAGCCTGAAGGTGGCGCCACATTCCAACTTCCTGACATGACTGGAGCTGGCTGGGCTGTCTTTGTGTGGGTAGTCTCTTCATCATTAAAACAAGTGTTGGCTAAACTGGTAATAGAATCAAATATGTTGCGAGTTGTTAGGGCAGACTTAGCTGGGTGAGCTGCTGTAGCTTTAGATGTTGGAGGTTGACCACTGTGTCCAGCATCTGTCATGTTAGTCAGGCCATAGACAGACTGGTTTTCTGGTGATGGTACACGGTGTTGGCGTGCTGGATCTGCGCTAGAGGCTGAGGGAGAATCAAAGCCAGCAGACCTGCTCATGTACATCTCTTGTTTGACTTTGACAAGACTAGAGTGTGCCCCAACATGCTGCTCTAAGATCTGTTGGGGTGGGCAAGTTTTCTCTAAACCTGGCTGATCAGTGCTGTAGCTTGTAGAACCTTTGGATTGGGCACATTCATTGGCAAATTTCTCTTGTTTGATTTGAATATGGGCTGGGACTGCAGTGACAGAGTAGTTGACTGATCCTGCTGTATCAGTCATGGGAGGATGTGGGGTGGCAGGGGGTCTTTTCAATGAGATCAATCCTGATGATGTTTGCACCATTTGACCATGAGATACTGAGGGTTGACCATAAGATACTGAGGGTTGACCATAAGATACTGAGGGTTGACCATAAGATACAGAGGGTTGACCGTGAGATACCGAGGGCTGACCATGAGATACTGAGGGCTGACCGTAAGATACTGAGGGTTGACCATAAGATACCGAGGGTTGACTGTAAGATACCGAGGGTTGACCATGAGATACTGAGGGCTGACCGTGAGATACTGAAGCAGGTGGTGCTGTAGAGTATGGTAAAGATTCTGGCACTGGTCTCATGGGATGTATCCAAGAAGAACTGTGAGCAGAGACGGGGGTGTTGTGGCTGGTGACTACAGTTTTACTCATGATGTTGGCTACAGAAAAGTCACTTCTTGTTATATTGCCATGACTACTGGCTACAGAAAAGTCACTTCTTGTTATATTGCCATTACTGGCTACAAAAAAGTCACTTCTAGTTGAGCCTTGATTAACGGATGGATGGGTAGTTTTGGCAGGAACTTGATTGGCTGATGATTCCTCATCAAAACAAGATGAGAGATAACTCTCTTGCTTAATCTGTTTGCTGGTAAGTGGATAATCAAAGGCCAGCCTGTGTCCAGTGTTTGCTGGTGTCAGCTGTGTGGCAGCTGGGCTGAAGTTGTGCCTGGATGTGGGAGGGTGGGTCTGCTGTGTGCTGGACCTGTCCAGACACTCCTGCCTCAGGTCCAGTGCGTGCAGCAGCAACTTGTTGGGTAGAGCTGGGGAGATCTGACACGCTGGGGCTGAGATCTGATGTGAGCTGTGAGACAACTCTGGGTAGTGCTGGTGGGAAGTCAGATTTTGGGATTTCTTCATTTGACCACCAGCATTTTGATTAGATCCTTGAGACTGCAAATGACTATGAAAATTTCCAGATGGATTTGAATTGCTCACTGGATGATTATATTTATTTAATGGTGAGTTCCGTATAGTAGATGCCTCGATCAGTGGGGGCATATGGGTTCTAGATAATAAAGGATTCTGTCTATTGCTAGTCTGCCTCAAGTCAGAAGGGTCATATGGAGTAGAAGTTGGGGTATTAGGCCGGTACATCTGGCCAGGTTTTTGTGATTCTCTCTGATGTATGCTGTACAAATCTGGCATGGACATCAGTTGCTGGGTCAATGAACTCAAGGGGTTTCTCAAGGCACTACCCAACATAGACGCACGGCCGGTGAACTCAAAGTTTTCTGGCTGGCTTGAGCTAGCACGGGAACTTGACAACTGGGATGGGCGTGACACACTTGGGCTGGTGAATGATGGCTGATAAGGATGACGACTAGGTACTGTGGGACTCTGATTTGTTGGTTTTTTGTGTATTGGGCTTTGATAAGAGATGTTGTTTTGTATAGTGCTTTGATAAGTGGGTGTTTTTTGTATAGGGCTTTGATAAGTGGGTGTTTTTTGTACAGGACTTTGATAAGTGGGTGTTTTTTGTACAGGACTTTGATAAGTGGGTGTTTGTCGTACGGGACTTTGTTGAGAATAAAGTGGATGTGTCTCAAAGTTCTGCATGGGTGTAGAAACACTAGGAACTCTTCTTTCTGTTGGGTAAGATTGTCTTGAATCTTCCTTAGCACTGGACGTTTCCCACGGGCAGGAGAGCCTTGGCCCTGGGTAGGACTGTCTTTGAGCTGCTTTAGGGCTGGGCACTAAATAGTTTGGGACCTGGTTCAGGTGAGAATAACTGTACCTTACAGGTGAGCACTCTCTGGCAGTAGGGTTCTGGCTGTATGGGTGAACTCTTGAATTATCTGCTGTATTGTGATGAAGTTGCTTTGGTGATTGACACAGGGTTCCATGTGGTCTGGTTGTGATCACAGTGGATGGAGTAAAGGAGGAGTGAGACGACACTGAGGAGGGTGTCGTCTGATAGACACTAGAGGAGGGTGTCGTCTGATAGACACTAGAGGAGGGTGTCGTCTGATAGACACTAGAGGAGGGTGTCGTCTGATAGACACTAGAGGAGGGTGTCGTCTGATAGACACTAGAGGAATGATTTCTCTCCAAATAAGAATTAGTATGAGATGGGACTAAATTTTTCAACATGTCACTATTGTAGATGAAAGGGCTTCTTGTGATTGGTTGCACAGTGTCAAGGACCGAGGGAGACTTGGCTGTCAGGATGCGATGACAAGCCCCAGGGGTCTGGTCCACCAGCTTGTCATAAGGTGAGGGGGGCTGGGGGGCGTGGTGGGACGTGGGCGTGAAGCCAAAGGACCAGGAGGATGCCAGATGAGGCTTCTCCCTTAAAGGTAACTCATGAGATGAATGCTGGAGCAGGTCTTCAATTCGTTTCTTGGCGGTCTGACTGCTTGGTTGGGTTGAATTTTGTGAATGAACTGAGCCGACTAGCTTGGCAGAAGAAGATAAGAAATGGTGGGTAAGCTCGCCTTGATGTTCATGGTTCAAGTTCACGGTAAAACTGTCCACATGTTTTGGGGATTCTATTTTCCCCAGGCTGCTATCATTCATGTGCTTATTGCTTTTAATGTCAATGTTAGAAAACTCCCCTGTGCTAACACTTGGAGTACTTTGTCGCTGCATGCTTTGGTTGGGATCTGACGTTTTAGTGGCTGAAGCGGGTTGAGATTCCAACAGGAAGTTGGGGGGAAAGGTTAACTGGCCTGCTGCAGGATAAGCTCTATGTTGGTGTGAGCTCACCGCCACTGCAGATGTAGGAGGTAGAGGGCTGGCTGCTGGCGGTAGAAAGGCTGAACGGAACTCTGGGAAAGTCCTCAGCTCTTCCACTTGAGAGATGCTGTGGAGGTTTTTTAGAGGCGAACTTAAGTGAGCTCTGCTTAGGGTTGACCTTAGGGCAGATTCAGTTTGGTTAGGGAATTCAGGCACAGTTAGAAGCCCAGGGTGCGGAGCAGGAAAAAACAGTGGATTGATGGCAGAGGAGTGGATCAAGGGCGGTACTGGAAGCCTATGGCTGGCTGAGGGCGCCACAGTGTGTGTAGGAGCTGCAGGTGGTACTGGAAGCCTGGCTGCCACAGAATGTGAAGGGGCTGTTAAAAAATGTAGCTCCATTTTAGCACTAACCAGAGCAGACGAGGATACAGGCTCCTGACCGGGGGTTTGTGACTTGCACTCCTGTCTGGATGAGGACACTGCATCTGAGTCCAACCCACCACCAGACATTTTGCGACATTTCTTTGGGGGTTCTGGGACTTTGTGGGTTGCATCTGGGGACGTGGG